GAATCAGCGCAAAAAGCTCTATCAACTGATATATAATTCATTGAGTTTTGTTTTCTGCTCGACTTTTGCATTACGTGCACCTTACAAGAAAATGATGAAATAAATAGAAACAAAAGACGTTGCCAAAAAAAGAAATCATAACATTGAATTGACGAAGCTACATTTAATAATGTTGACGGTGCAGAAAATACAAGAACAGTTTATTACAGATGTAACAATATCAAACGTCGTGAAGGATGAGTATCAATGAAGTGAAAACCTATTAGTACCCAGTCACACCCTATTTTACACAGAAAAAAAATTCTGCTGATAATTTCTATACCTTTCGCTGAGCAAATCTACATTTTTTTTCTGATTGAATTCGTATTTATTACTGATATACAATGTATTCTTTTATTTATAATAAAAGGACCATTTTAGAAATAAATCAAGGGAGAAAGAGCGAAATCCTATAGAATATTGGAATTTATAGTCTGAAAGTCATTAGCTGTACAATTTAGACTTTCTTGTTACCCTTAATAATATTATCAAATACTTACACAAACAGACAGCAGTGTGGCTATTGACGGAAAACTGATTGTCTATCAACTGATAGATTATTATAATTTATAAAAGGAAGTAAAATTGAATAAAAATCGATTTGAATATTTCTCTATATTATAATACTAATTAGAAAATCATTGGCGTTCAAGAATATCAAAATTAAATTTTTAATAAATAATACTCAGTGATGCAATTATGCATATCGAGTTCGAATAGAATAAATCAATCTTAACTTATTGATGGATACTCAATTACAAGGCTTGTCGGAGAAATGATACGATTCGATTCAACTAATGACCGATCGATATATACATATTTCAATAAACATAAACGAATAGAATAAAGGAAGAAGACATATCAGTATAGAAAGCTTTTGTAACATACATGGCATCTTTTGGTAAACTCATGAAAATTTATTAGGACTCTTTAGGAATTCCGGATTTCGCTGTTTCACTCTTGCATATAAAAACTGATAGTTTAATTACTGACCATTTCATCTATATTTTACTGACTACTTAAATCATAGCTTTGTTTTTTACTTACATGTTTTCCAGCAATAGTAAAAAACCGAAGTATAATGACATTAAATCCCAATGTATTACTAAATTCTTGCTAGAATAATAAAAAAAAATTCATTTTATTTATATAAAAACAATTTTTTTTTTGTTTTTCTTACAAGTTCAGTTTTGCTAATAGAAATAAAATTTAATACAATCCAACCAATACCAAGTATAGTAACTACTAAATCAAAACGATTACGACGTGATTGCCAATAACCAACAAAACCAAGTGCAATACATTTCATAACAGCTTCAAGAAAAAATAAAAATGTAAATAAAGATGATATTAATGCTGATATTTGTGTTATTTGTTCATTAACTTTCCATGGTTTATAAAGTAATGCACAATTTAGTAGAACAAGTACAGTAGAAGATTTTACAAATAATCGATTTTGTGTTATATCAAATATATATGAACGAAATTTGCTATTTTCTGGTCGTGGTGGTGTACATAATGGTTGAATAAGTTTTATACGTCCTTTTAAATCCATCCAACGACGTTGATCAACTGTTAATAAAGCCGTTCCCTTTAAATATATAATTCAAAACAAAAATTGATTAATTATTCAGAAAGACAAACCTTATTTTCTGAATAATTTGCAATAACAACACCAACAAATAGAGTTAAACCAACTAATGTACCAATAAATACAAATATATGAACGAATATAACATGTTCCTAAGAAATTTTTTCTATGAAATAAACAAAACAAAATTATTATATTTACTGGACTCATACGCTCCATAATGATATCACGTATATCAAGCCATCCTTCAAGTGATAGAACTTCAAAAAGAGCTAACATAGCACTACCAATATAATCAAAATTAAAATTATGTGGATTAGCCCTACAAAATGATTTAGTTTCAAAAATAAAAACAAATAAAATTCAATAACATACCATACACGTGGTACTAACATAACTGGATCATCGTTACTAACATTCATTTTTGATACATAAATTTTCCTCCAAAATGTTCCATGACATGATTTCTAGAAATTATTATTATTTTAATTCAATGATGAAAATATTCTGATTTAATATACTTGATTATCAAAAAAATCATGATCATTACAACGAGCTAATTGTCCACCAATGATTTGAACACCATAAATAGCAAAAATAAACATCAATACAACGAGTAATATTGATACCTAGAAATAACAAAGTGTACAATTTGAAATAGAAATTTTAATATTATAAGTTGATTTTGTTTTTGTTTCTATTGTATTACTTTACGATTTATTTCTCTTGGTATGATGAATGAAATCTGTCTCATAAATTTTGTTGTAAAAGTTTGAAAATAGATCCGATAAATAGAACAATCTCAAAGGAATATCTTCCGATAGATACTCAATTCCTTTTTTTACCAAAGATTAATTGAGTTATTGAATACAATGAATTGATCATTCTTTCATTTCTATTGTGATAAATCTACTCAATTATTCGATGAGAACATTCGGTATCATAAGTAGCAGACACACAAGTAGAGCCCATTAATTGGAATCTTTCGGACTCAAAGCCGGTCGAACCGTACTTTGATACTCTCAATGAAATTTTTTAATCGAAATTACCCATGCAAAAAAAATGTAGCCAAAAAGTAACTTTTTAGTACTTTCAAAATTTTCTTTTAAGCAGAAAAAGGTACTTATAAGTGAACCTTTTTAAGTACTTTTCCTACTTTTCGACTGAAAAGTACTATTAAGTACTTTGTAAAATGAAAAAAGTGTGAGAAAGTACTTTTCAAACTGGAAAAAGTGTGAGAAAGTACTATAAAAAGTGAAAAATAGTAAGGAAAGTTACTTTATTTTACTTTATTAATATTAAAAGTATTTAAAAGTGATTCTGGTTCACTTTTTTTACATAAGTAGATAGTCATCTCGAAAATACAAGATATTTTTATTCCGATTTTTCGTATTTGGTGACTAGCGCAAGCTACACATTGCTCAGACTACTAGAATCTATCGGAGCCAAGACCAACCCGGCGGGCTCTAGCCCCAAGGCTTGGGCAAGCTTAAACATTTGTTTCTCAATCCATCAAATTGATAGATTTATGTAATGCATCGAAATTCTTATACAAACGTCAACATTTTCGTACGCCAGTAGACTTTGAAAACATTCAATTTTGTATGACTAAATGTTGGGTGCTATATTGTGAATGACTTGAAGTATTATTAAAAGCTGTCCAAAGTTTTCTTCGCCTTCGGTGACTAAACTTACATATTCAAGAAATATTTTCAATAAAGTGAGCGAATCCATAGTGTAACTTCTTTTTTTCTTTGTGAACACTGATGCTTCACCATGATTCTATTTTTTTAAGTAAATTAGATCGAAAGCTCTTCTTTCGATACTCGAAATTGAATAAAAATAAATTTTAGAATGTTTCTTAAAAATATACGTCTTTTGACACAAGCTGTGAATTTGTTTTCTGAACTGTACTAATTAGTTTCATACAGTCCAGAATATGAGTTGGAAATAAAAATCATTAACTGTATTTTATTTCAATAGCATAAAAAGATTTGCCATTCTCCTTCTTTCTATTCTTAAAATCTCCGTGAAATTAAATTGTGAAACACGATTAATTCTGCATAGCTTGCAACTCCAAAAGCTTCAGTTTGGAAATTCCAGCATACTGATATGTCCTTGATGAAAGATGTTTTTCATTTTCTGTGGCTAAGCTTATCAAAAGTTGTGATTGACAAAGCTTTTTGTCAAAAAAGTAATTTTTCAAGTCTTACTAATAGAATTTCTTTAAATCCTCGACAAACTTCATAGACAACGTTCCTCAGATCAGGGACCAAAATAAAAATTCGTAAAGGTCGTGTTGATCGAAGAAGCATAAGAAATTGAGCAACACTATTCACTGGAACATTCCGTGGTAACCAACAAAGAAAAGTCAGACCAACAAAAAAAACTGCTACATCAATAGCTCCACCAATATCTCGAACTAATGCTTTTGGTGTAAAAAATAAACCATGTGCAAAAATTTTTAATGTTAATTCAATACTCATAAAAATAACAAACACATATTCCGCTATCTACAAAAAAAGAAAATGAATAAATAAATATTAAGAAAAATAAAAATAATAATCAGTTATATACTTGTAATAAAGGTTGATCAACAAGTCGATTAACAGGTGTTTCAAATGACATACTAACTATTGATAATATTGTTACAAATATCATAATCCAATCAAGATATGTTACTAAGCCAAGAAATTTACTAGAATAAAATACTTGATAGATTTAGGAAAAAGAAAAAAAAAGACTTACTATCCTTGTTTATATCGACTAACTTTTGATTCTTGTCCAAGATGATCTTTAGTATTAGCATTATAACGAGCTTCGACAAGAAGTTGACAAAATTTTCGAAGATTACTTTCACGTGGGATGATAAATAAAGGTGTATCAAAATATGGATGATTTTCACGAAGATCTTCTTCCTGTTGATTTCTAAGCAAAAGAATACAGAATTCATTTATCTCAAAATCATATCTTTTCATATATATATATGCATATATGGACAAATCATTCGTTAACAAACATGACTTCGCAAAAATAAAATACGCGTGTTTCAGGATCATGAACTTCCCTCGAGCTAACTTTTATATACGTTACATGTATGTTAAGTTACACTAGGTATCCTAAAGAAATCAGTCTGATCAAGACGTTTGCTCAGAGAAGTTATCAGTAAAAAAACCAGCTTTAATGACGTGATACAAAAAAACAGAACTTAGACTCTCATTGGATGAATTATAGCGTAAAAGAACTCCGAATTAAGACAACACTAACTATTACATTCTATTAACAACTACTGAAGCTAAAATACCTCTATCAAAAAAAATTTATTGAGCATGCCTAGATTTTTCCAAAAAATTGGTTCACTTTTCGCTAGCGATGTGTCAGAGTACGAATATACAAACCAAAAAATTCTCTTATCACTCAATGAGAAGTTCAAAATTTAATTTCAAACAATCAAAACTCTTCTTCAGAACCTTTAGATAATGATAGAACAAACGTTGTTGTTTCATAACCTGACAAGGTCTCTAGAAAACCAGTTTTTACGAGAAAGATTTTTTTCGAATCCAATCCTGCTATTCGCTGATTACTTTTTAATAAATAATCGGCTGAAAATGTCAACATTTTTACATATGTCGACGTTAAAAGAACTAATTGAGAAAAAATAACCCTTGTAAAGAATCAAAATCAAATGAAAGATGGGTATGTCTCGTATTACCAGTAATGGCTTATTTACCGTTGTAATTCAGCTTGTTGTTTTCGATATTGAAATACTTTGATGTCATAATCATCTTGATTTTGACTATGTAATGCACCAATATATCCACTTTCACGTATAACATGTACTGGTTTTGATCGATAATGTGAGCGATGCATGGAATTTCTATTGAAATATTAAGAAAAAAGTTCAATGAAAAAATTAAATCAATAAATGATTTGTTTTCGTTTTTTTCTTTACTTTCGATCAAGTTCAATTTTATTTTTTTGTACGAATATTGATAATTTATTATCAAATATACTTGCTAAATTTATTTGACTAGCATCACCACTTAATAAACGTTGATTACTTGCATTTCTATAATATTCTTCTAATTATATACAATAAAAACAAAAAATAATTTAAATAAACCTGATAATATTGTTTACAGCTGTTCGTTTCATAGTTTCACCTATTGATCGATATTCTGGTGTATGTAATGTTTTAACTCTACGATTTTTATTATATATATTCATTGAAAGTGCAGGTGAATATGAATAAATATTATCTTGATTAAGAAATTGACGCATAAAACTACTACGAATTTTCGGAATTATAAAATCATGTGGTAAGCCTGATAATTCAATCATTTGAGGATGATCAGAAAAACGTTCAAATATACGTAAACGCCATGGCAATTTTTGTTGAGTTTCAAAACTAGCTCCATGTGTTTTTAACTAAAACAAAAAATAATAAGAATTATATTTGACAGAAGTTCTAATTACAATGAAATGTTCGAAAAATTTTTATACAATATGTTTGTTTACTTTTGATTCGATCAAAGATATTTCCAACGAGTCAGAAGCTATGAGTTAGGATGTTCTTTTCGAATATTAGTTTTAGAAATTTTGTTCGACAGTAGTGAAATAATCTTTGAAAAGCTCCAAAACTTAGTTTGAATGGAGTTTGTGGGCTGACGTTTCTGATGAACATGTTTGTTCATTTTGACCTGCTTGAAAACATTTCAGACAAACCAAACACTATAGGTCGTGATCAGAGTTTTGATATGGACTTAGAAATATTGTGTCTATTTTTGTTCAAGAGTAGTGAGCAACTTTTTGAAAGACCTGAAAATGATTTTTAATGATGAGCCAACAAGTTTTTGTTTATTCTATAAGTACTTTTCGAACATGCTGAAAATTGTCTAAGTCGATCGTTTTGTAGAGTGGATCGTTCTCTACAAAGTGCGATATTTAACTAAGCTGTCGTTTTTACTGAAGCATTTTTTCAAGAGCTCCTTTAAATGTAAAACAAGTATTGTATTTTGTATGGTAGCTTCTGATCTACAAGCTCATATGTAAATAAAGATTGCAAGTTTTAGATACAAAAATTTTCTATCCAAACTAATTTTTTTGGCTTTTCAAAGGTGATTTCACCATTCTCGAAAAAAAAACTCAAATAACATTTCTAAATCTATATTCTAAAACAACACAAACTTATAGCTTGTGACTCGTTGGAAATACTTTCTAGCCGGTTACGAATAAACAAATATCCTGTTTAAAAACTTTCCGATTATCTGTTATTAATGTATTATACTAAGAATTTTTCTACAATCATATCTTAGTAGCCAAGTATTTCAACCCGTAGTATAACGAGTGACACAGATTAAAAGAGACAAAATCTTTTTCTTCTTTTTTGAATGCCTCCGATACATTTTCCGAAAATCATTCTATAGTTATTCGATAGAGAATTTTGTGCTCTGTGCTTTCACGATCTTTTCAAGATTCCTATTGCTATCGTTCATAAGAAGACTTGGAACTCATACCTAGTGGTATTTTTGTACGCGTTTCGAAAACGCATGTTTTCCGAAATTAGACTTGCTGTTTGAAACAATTTATTCTCGCCTTGTCGAATATAGAATTGAATTCTGAACAAAATGGTATGACTGCTAAGTTGAGAAGTAAACGCAATTAGGTTGTATCAAGTGAAAAGATGAACAATCACTTAATCCTGTTAGAGAAGGGTTTTTTGGTCAGAAGATTTTACTAGCAAATATTTCTTCTAAAATTCGGAAACATATGTATATCACAAGATGCAAAAAAATAGTTTCACAATTTCTATGATCTAAGAATCTATTTATAATCATTAACTTCGTCTATAGTAAAATGTTTAAAAAGAAAGAACCTATTTCAGAACTTAAATTTTATTTTGAAGAAAAAACAAAACAAAGTAACATGTAAATAACAAACTTGTTTAATCATTTTAACATCTTCATCAAGTTCAAGATTGTCCAAAATGACGGCAACGAAAAGTGAAAGTACAATCTAATTAAAAAAACAAAACAAAATTAAACTAAATTTTATATCTTAAATAACAAAACATTAAAATAAGCAGAAGCCTTAATACAAAAAGAAAAACAAGGCACAATACAAAATCTAACAAAATATTTTCTATTCCGCATATCAAATTAATAGCAAGATATTAAACAATAAAATAGATAGCAACAAATGAAGCTACATCTTGAATATTATATTGCATTGTATAATGCATAGCATCAACATCATTGTTTTTGTGTTACAACTTGAAACATTGATATAAATATCTATATATGAATGAGTCAGCAATTAAAGCTAATTAAATTATTCAAAACGCATTTCAAACATAAACAAAAAAGAAAGCCTTTTTTCTCACTCATGTTCATGCTTAATATTATTTCATTCTTTCGGATATAACTTACAGAATTAGTTAATAAATGAAAAAAGATAAAGAAAAGTGCTGTTAGACATAAAAAGAATACTCCAAATCCATAAACTTTGTTCATGGTTGAATACATCACTTCTGTCCAACCATCATTCATAGCAATATGAAACATAGACATAAATGCCTGAGAAGTATTTTATTTTTGTTTTTTTTTTGAACAAATACAATATCGAAAAACAAAAAGAAACTTACACGAGGAAATGTTTCAAATTGTTGAAGATCTTTAATAAAACAAAATAATTGCATACTAATCGATGATGTTATCAATAACAAACACATTGTAAATAAAATTAAGCTACCAAGTTTTTTACCCGAACCAAAAATCTTAATTAATAAAATGAATAGAAATTTTTCTTTTTGAAAAAAATTTCAATTTTTTTGTTTACTTTATTAAGAAAATCTTCAAGTAAAGGAATTGATTTAAGTAGACGAGCGACACGTAGAACTTGAAAATATGTAAAAGCACTTCGATAAAATGATGGAAAACAATGAAGAGTTGTTCCCACAGCAAGCACAAATTCAAATATAAATATTGATCTTCGAATATAATTTTTAAACCCCATTGAGAAGATTTTAAAAAGTGCTTCCAAATCAAAAAATATAGTAAATAATGTCTAAAACCAATGTCATTGAATTTTTTTTTCTTATTTTTTAATAGAACATTTCACTTTTACCTCAATTTTATGATAAAATTCACGATTTTTTTTATCAAGTTTTTCATTATGTGTATGTTTAATAGTTGCCGTAAAGATTGTATTAGCAAGTACAACAATCATAACAGTTGTTGTGAACACTGGAGATTGTGCAATTTTTAAAAAAATAGCTGGTGCTACACCTTTCTTTTTTTTATCTCTATTGACTAATTTTAATGTACTATTACCAGCTTTTTGTAGTACCTATATGAAAATTTAGTTTAAATTTGAATTCGAAATAAAATTGTATTTACTTTTGTTGCTTCAATACCTGATGTTACTCCTATTGAACCCCAAATTTGTTGGAATTGAACACGAATTTCAGCGAATGTTTCAATAATAACAGCAATAAATACATTCTAAAAGAAAATTTTCTTTTTTATCATAGAATTCAATAAATTAATCTTTTTGAAAAATCTGCATAGTACATCATATTTCTAACTTTTCAAAGTGTTACATATTCATGGTAAATTACAGGAAAGAAAAAAATTTTTAGTTCAATAATATTTGTTATGGCTGTACGCAAAGTTGAGTAAATAAAATTAACGATAACTCTTCAATCAACATTCTCAAGAAAAACTAAATCGAAAAGAAAGCTTTTCTCTATCTTGAAGCGACTCCTAAACAATTTTGCCGCATATTAAATCTCAAAAAAAAGTCATATTCTATGTTCATAGACACTAGTTCTAAGTCGTTTCCAAAAAACAAAATTTTTTATTCTATAGACTATTTAAAACTTACTTTGACAAGCCATGCAAGAAAAAAAATTAATGAAATAAAATAAAAAAATGCACGCCATGATGGAAGACTATCAAGAGCTCGATACATAAGAAATACCCATCCTTCTTGACTAGCTGATTCATAAACTGAAAAAAAACTAGTTGCTAATTCATCAAAACCATTATAACCACGTAAATTTCTTTGAATTTCAATTTTTTGGCAATTAAAATTTTCTGGACAATGAAAACCATGTTTTGTTGGTGAACAATATGTATCAGGTATCATTAAATCTGACTGTACCACGTTACTTAAACAAAGAAANCATTATGTGCTCAAGGTAATAATCGTGTATCACATGAAATATGTAAATTTGTTGATGAAAAACAATTGATGTATTGTGTAAAAAATGCTTGTAAGTTAAATTATTATTTATTTTGAATTGGGTTAATTTTTTTGTATTGTTTATTATTTAGATTTATGTGGACCTATTCGAATTGGTGTTTATGATTTACTTATTGCTTTACATTTTGAAACACATATTAAAGCGAGGTAATAAAATTTGATATTTAGGATAGTTTTTTTTTTTTTCGTAAAGATTTCTTTTTGTTATAGAAGTTTAACTTCAACAGAATTTATTATTCCATTATCGGACGCATTTCGAAATAGTGTTCTATTACATTCAAAAAATTCAATTGAACAACAACAAATATCGACAACATCAAAATATATACCAGCTATGGAACAGTTTTTAGCTGTACGACCTAAATTAATCAAAGATGAAGAGTATGTCAATGCTTTTTATCTAACGAGGAAATTATCCGAACTATAACCTTTCGTTTGAGATCAGATTGGACCCACAAGGTGATCTCGATAGGACTGGAAAAGCATAAAAGAGTTTGTTTCCACAGGATTTTGCAGCCAAGTTATGACCATTGTACTGATTTTTTGACTCGATTTAGGTCTATAGAATATTCTGAAAGTTTCAGAATATTCTATGGTGATTAGACCTATATGTAGGCAAAATTTTACTTCGAAATTCAGTTCAACGGTCATAACTTGGCTGCAAAGTCTAATCTTATCAAGATCTCTTTGCTAGCCTGATATAAGCTGAAACGGCAAGTTACAGTTTGAGTAGTTCTTAAGGGTTTGGATCATATGAAATGATCCACTCGATTTTTCGTGAAAGGGTTTCCGTTCATAAGAATCGAAGTATCGTAGAGAGTATTACAACTTTGTATTAGCAGCGGACATTAATTATCCGAGTGATAAAAAATGTCTAGAGAATAATTGATAGATCTTGAAAACAAATCAAATGAAATTTTGAATTTTCTCATAGAACTTCAGATTGTTTTCGATTCTTACTAAAAAAACAGAAGAAAAAAACTTTTAATCTATATATATAAAGAAGAATGTTTGTCTGTTTGCTCGTTATGCATTTCCACACCATACGAGCAAATGCAGCCAAACTTTCCAGGAATCTTCCTCACATCCAGGAAAAGGTCAACGTCTACTTTAAAAAAAAGCAGTTGATCCTTCGCCTGGAAAAAGCCTGCCTATGTTCCTAACCAATCAGATTGCAGTATTCAGTACTATAGAACTACCACTGACCACCACTTCGTGAACACACAGAAAATATGAAACTAGAGGTTTTCAAGGGCGGTGAGTTCGAATCTGGGGTCCATTTATCTCGAAATCTGATTGGTTGTTCCGAAACCAATAGAAATTCAGCTCTTAAGAAAATAGATGAAAACACTTATACTTTCGGGAAAATGATGGGGCAGGGGGTTTTTGGGCGTGATAAGTTCGAATCTGGGTCCATTTTCCTTGAAATCTGATTGGTCGTCCGGAAACCAATAGGAACACAGCTGCTAAGAAGCCAACTAATCAAAATTGCGTTTTCACAAACACAATTAGGTAGGGGTTTTCAAAGGCGTTGAGTTCGAATCTGGGGTCCATTCGTCTCGAAATCTGATTGGTTGTCCGGAAGCCAGTAGGAAATCAGCTTTCATCAAGCCAGCTAATCAAAATTGTGTTGTCAGGAGAAAAGTTAGGCAAGGGCTTCCTGAGGCAATGAGTTCGAATAAGGGATTCAAGTACTGAATATGAGTATAGGATAGGGAAGCCCGTTTCTTGTTCTGTTTATATAAACAACGACGTTTGTTTTTCACTTCTTTGTGCATTTGATGTCGGTAATAACTAGCGCCATCAAACTTTCTCTGACATGCCCCTTAGTCTAGAGAAAAATTGAGACGAGATTGGCGCGACAAGCAAGGAAAGGAAGGCAACTGGGCGTAACTCTACCCAGGTTGTAAAAATCGAAAATTCCCTAATCTCTATCTCTATCTCTAATGTACGTTAAGAAAAAGAATTTTGACAGGCTGTGCAAAGAGTGATCATGTATTCATACCGGGAACAGTCATGCCTCTTACTGATATACCGTTTGAGTTCAAGCGTCTTCAGTTACCTGTACCTGCTGCCTTCGCGATGTCCAGCAACAACGCTGAAGAGCAATTGCTTAAGGTGGCTGGTATTAATCTAGAGAGTCCTTCCCTTTCTCATGATCAACTTAACGTAGTATGCTCGAGAGTTGGGACTGGGAAGAATTTCTATGTTTTAGCCCTTGATGCGAAAACCAAGAAGTTTGTGTATCAAACAGCTTTGCAATAGACTTTGTATTTCATTAAGCAGTCTTTTCTAATAAAAGAAGTCGATCAAACAAAAAGAACACTGAAAAGGATAGAAATGTTTTTAAAAAATTAAAAATGAC